ATTTTTTTCTAATTCATTATATGTGTGAAAATAGATTTCACATATATGATATTTCTATTTGTAAATACAAAAAATTTGTATTATTTTAGTTAGTGTATGAATAAAAACACTTTATACAAATTCTGTGCAAATACGGTGAATTTCACTGTCAAATACAGTGAGCTGTCATATATGGTGAGCTTTCTACAAATACAGTAAAGTACAAATACGGTAAGTTGTCTGTAAATACGGTAAGCTACATGTCACTACGGTAAGCGTCATATACGGTATCATAGTTATAAAACTCGGACCTGACCTGCCGGTTCGACCCGGAAACCGTTGAACCGGACCAGCGTCCGGTCCGGGTTCACTGATTTTGTGGATGTAAGAACAGTCCGCCATCCAACTGTGAAAATTGCCGGTTTTTCGTGAAACCCGGGTTCCTTTTTTCCTTGACCCGGCCGGTTCTTTGTTAACCCATATATTTCTGATTTCTCCGTCTTTCTTTCACTTTCTCCACCCCTTCTCCTCAGTCTTCACAAATTCTAAAGCGTTAGGGATACTTCCAACATCAAAAAGCCCAGCAGCCGTCTCCAATCTCTTGCAACTCAACCACTTCCAAAAAATCCAAATCTCCAATTTCAAGTTTGAAGAGATGGAAGAACAAGTTAAATGTATTTTGCTGAAAAAAATCTCGACCAAATTGATTTTATACTTAGGCTAATTTTTCAAATTCATATGTATATATTTTCTTCTTCTGTTAATTGCTATTGTTGTTCAAATCGATTGTAATATGGAAATTATTTCAGTGTTTATTTGTTTGATTAGGGTGATGACAAATACGCAAATAGCCGTGAATATTGGAAAAAGAATCAGATCGACGTCAAAGCAAAGGTCCCAACAGCCAAATATATTGTGTTTAATTATTTTAGTAGAATGAAATGGGTGTGTGGAGTTAATCCCAAAATGGTCAGTGAGGCATCGTTTATGTTTCCAGATTCGATTTTTCTTCTTTTCCGGTTTCTATTTCATTATGTTTCCAGTCTCTGTTTCCAAATGTTCTGGGTTTAGTTTGAGCCTTCATTAATTCTTAAGAACATTAATTAGATGTACTGGATTTAGGTTGATTAGATGTCATTAAAATTACTTTCATGTTTTGACTTTTAACTGGTGGTTTTATTTTTGCAGGCATATTCATATAGCATATGAAGCTATCTTGTTGAACTTTGTTAGATAAAGTAGTTTTTTTTTAGTTGTTTTTGTCGTTTCAAATGCACGCTTGACTACATATGTGTTTAGAATTTGTGAAATTTTGGATACATATTGACCTTTAGATAACAAAATAATACGAGGGTAATAAAGTTATCAGTAGAAAATGGTAAAATTTTATTGTTCAACAAAACTAAGTAATAATATATTTGACAAGCATTGACCCACCGATTGAACCATCGGGTCACCGGTTGAACCACTGACCCACTAACCCGCTGCATTGTCCGGGTCGACATCCGGGTCGGGTCTGACAACTATGTACGGTATACTTAAAATTGGTGTTTAATCTACCCATACAGCATGTGATAATTCGATTTCATTAATACCACTATATTCCAACAGTTTTAAAGGTCATTTTTCAGTTTGAAATTTTGAAAAGTTGGCCTTATCCATTTGAGAGGAGGCCTTATTGTAATATTGATGTAAACTTGACTAATCGTCTGTGATTACACCTTAATACTCAACTGGGACAGCATAGGCATGCCGCCATGCGTGTAAATTGTAATAGTGTGTGTGTACTAATTTACTAAATTTGATAGCAACTATAGTAGAATTTTTTTTTTCATAACAACTAAGTTATATAGCAATTATTGAGCCTCTTTAGATCTTCGTTTTTGTCATTTACGTAATCATTTTTTTAATGATCACGGTGTTCGAACCATTTTATGTACACCTCGATTAATCTCACGAAACCCTAAAGTTTACACTCGGATACTCACCCTCAATCATCCTGAGGGGACTCAAATTGATGATTTACGTAATCTTTATTTTTAAGTAGAATTAAATCATAGAAACATGTCATTAACAAAATGCTAGTTTATATATAATCGTCATTTTTTAAGGAAAAATTATGCATTTTTGTGATCTGTGTGCACCTCGATTAGAAGCTCTAAGAGGTCCAAATGAATTATGAATTGGATTTCAGTAGGTTGAAGAAGCCGTACAACTCAAAGTAAATTGATTGTCAATAAATAGAATTATATTATATAACTTTATACATATAACAATGTGCATAACATATTAAGTCAATATGATTCCAAAATAATATTGTACGTTTCTTTAGGGATCGTTTCGTAAGTGTGGAAAGTATGTTCTTTACCTTCTATTTTGTGGCCGTCAAGTGTTTCCAAACCCTCTTAAAAATTGTAAATTATTTGATATAGTATCATTTTTTATCACATTTACATAATAAAATATTCTATAAACAAATCAATAAAATTTCTTTATTTTTTAATCACACATTCTTCAAAAAATACTGATCAAAACTCTTTTATTTTCCAAATAATGAACGACAAACAAGGGCTAATAATGTGCACGGGGTATCTCCATTTGAAGAAATTATCTATTCAGAAGTCAAGTGACCTCGCAATAAGCATGCGATATCTAGCTGAAATGGTAAAATTTGTCCATAAATAAATCTTTAGCCTTAAATGATAAGGATTAAAATCAGAATTTTAATAAATTTTGATAAAAATTGATGAAATGTATAATTAAAAAGTCGTAAATCACATAAATATTGTTCAAAACTCTTTAATTTCTCATATAATGAATGACAAATAGGGGCTAATAATGTGCACGGGGTATCTCCATTTGAAGAAAAATATCTATTCAGAAGTCAAGTGACCTCACAATAAGCGTGTGATATCTAATTGAAATGGTAAAGTTGTTCGGAAATAAATCTTTATCCTTAAATGATAAGGATTAAAATCATAATTTTAATAAATTCTGATAAAATTGATGAAATGTGTGATTCAAAAGCTGTAAATCACATAAAATGTGTAATTAAAAATAATTATTGAATTTGGCTTAGATTAAAATCCACCAAAAAGGGACTTAATATAATTTGAATAATCACTATTTAATTTTTAGAATAAGAAAAATATTACACCAAAAAAGTATTAAATACACATTTCCTTCTCTTCTTCGTTTCATTATTATTACTCTCTAGAAATCCATGTGAATAATGTCTTATTTCCTTTAAGAACTCTACTTTGATAATTAAGAAATAGGAGTAAGAAAAAGAATGGCGGACGAAATACAAAACTACTAACTCAATTTATTTAACAACATTATGAAGATTGATAAAATGGTTTTAAACATAAAAGAAGATTGTATTATAACCCAATTTAGAACGCAAAACCATTGGGCTAGGCCGAGCCTCATTCATATTCTCAAGGAAAAGATAATTTTTAGAGTTTCTTGCCTACCGATAGTCTCGGCTCAGTCCACTAGGTAAGTCGGCTCACTCAATCAAAGAGTGGTCCAACTAGCCCCCTAGCTTGCCCCTTGGATGAATGAGTCGCTTGCGATTTGAAAATATTTATTTATTTGTTTAAGATTGTATTGTTCACTCGATATGACGAGTATGCAAGTTATTGAAGAGATAGCTCATACGCGAGTAGACAAGCCGGCTAGCTCGCTTGACTCTTGGGTCAACTTAGGTAACAAGAAATGCGTTGTTTAGGTCGCATTAGATAGACTCACTAGTGGGGCAAATCGTGCCGACTAGTGGCTCGTTCCACCCATTTAATCTTCCTCTTCCATGTATAGTTTTTCCAAATTTTTAGCCAATTTCATACATTTTCTAGTGAATTGGAGTTTTTGACAAGTTTTTAATGAGTAGTTGTGATTAGAATAATGTTATCTAGCATTATTGGAGTTAAAAGATGACATTAAATAATAAATTTAATAAAAATAGAATTAAATAATTTAATTAATTATACCTCTCATCCAGATGATTTATCACATTGGCTTTCCCCATCATGCATAATAGAATTAACCGTGCTGTTTGGCTAGGGTTAAATCCCGACCAAACAATAGAGTGCCCATGTGGCGCACCCGTGTTGGAGAGACGGCTGTTCTAGCCAAATAGGTTTTTCCTAATCGAATTACCATTGTGATTTACATGGAGTCGGCAGGAAGTGAATCAGCAATCCCTTTTGAGATTTTGATGATAAAAGGGAATATGGTCTATTGCTTTCACAATCTGGCAGGCAACAGGCTTTGAAATTGTCCGATATGTATTGTACTAACAAAATGATTCAGAAAAATCCACCTACCACATAAACACTAAAGTCCAATTCTTACAACACAACTCCAGACCCCATTTCTGACTTCTTCCTCACACAATCTTTTCTAATTCCTTTTTGTTTTTTCAATTGCCTTATCTCTCTCCCAAAAGAAATACGACTCTTTTCTATTCTAGTCACGATACATAAAAAATAATGAACTCCAACCTTGAGAACCTTCATCGTCCCGTCCCTAAAACATTGTGAGGGAGGTAAATCAAAAAGTGTGCCTCAATAGACCAGAAAATAAGAGCTTGTTAGTACACTGGTGCCCACAAAGAGTCTAAGTCTATATCTCAGGAATCGAATTCTTGCACTGTGACTGTCAGTAAAGTTGAGACTATCACACTTCTGTCCTTTGCACCACTTGTTATGCCCCGAGGGACTTCTAGTCACGATACATAATTTACATGTATGATGGGCTAGATAGAGATATAATGGGTGGACATAATCGAAAGTATTCCAAACATTAAATCATTCAAGTCCCGTTACCTCTTCATACGTCGAAGGGGCAAGAGAGAAGGAGCAGGTGGACCGACTTGCTTAGCATCGAAAGTTTTGTGACTTAAGTAGTATCGTGATTAGAATGAACAATCTTGACACATGTGTACGATAGACAACCTTTTAACCTTTGCATTACCTTTTCCTTTATTCCCCCCAACCATAGCCCACCTCGCCTCGAAATCCATTTTTCACATGTTCCCATTTATTTTAAATACAGACTTCTCATTCCCTAACTCTCTCTTAACGAGATTACATTTTTTCTCAAGATTTACGTAATCCATCCCTATCTCTCTGAATATTCATTTAAAAATATATAAGTTCATCTTTCTCTATTTGGCTATTTCATTCCTTAAGCAAATCCAGAGCTTCCAAAATGAAGGAGATTTGGACAACCATGGCATCAATGATGGGGGTGTGGGCTTTTTGCCAAACCCTTCTGCACACAGTCTTCCCGCCGGAGCTCCGGTTCGCCTCCATAAAATTCCTCTACCGCCTCCTCAACTGGTTCTCCTCCTACTGCTACTACGACATCACCGAGATCGACGGCGTCAACACCAACGAACTCTACAACGCCGTCCAACTCTATCTCAGCAGCTCCGCCTCCACCACCGGCACCCGCCTCAGCCTCACGCGCGGACTCAATTCCAGCAACATCACCTACGGCCTCTCCAACAACGACCGCCTCGTCGATACCTATAATGGCGCAATCGTCGAATGGGAACACGTGGTCACTCAAAGACAATCCCAAACTTTTTCTTGGCGGCCACTGCCTGAAGAAAAAAGAGGCTTCATTCTCCGGGTGAAGAAGAAAAACAGACAGATGGTGTTGGGTTCCTATCTTGATTTTGTTATGGAAAAGGCTAATGAAATACGTAGGAAAAATCAAGACCGTTTGCTTTACACAAATTCACGCGGTGGCTCCTTGGACTCTCGAGGGCATCCATGGGAATCCGTACCCTTTAAGCATCCTAGTACTTTCGAGACTTTAGCTATGGATCCTGTGAAAAAGGCTGAGATTATGGCTGATCTCTTAGATTTTGCAAATGGAGAGTCTTTTTATCAGAGAACTGGGAGGGCTTGGAAGAGAGGTTACTTGTTATATGGTCCACCCGGGACTGGAAAATCCAGCATGATTGCAGCCATGGCTAATTATCTCGGGTATGATATTTATGATCTTGAATTGACTGAAGTGAATACAAATTCTGAGTTAAGGAAGTTACTTATGAAAACTAGTTCGAAATCGATTATTGTTATCGAGGATATAGATTGTTCCATCAATTTAACTAATAGGAAAAAGAGTGGTGGTGGGAGTGCTAATTCTGGTGGCCGGAAAAATAACCATGATGCTGCATCCCCGGCACCACCTGGGGCTAATGGAGAAGATGGTGGCAGTACAATAACGCTCTCTGGGCTGCTGAATTTTACAGATGGATTGTGGTCTTGCTGTGGGAGTGAGAAGATTTTTGTGTTCACTACAAACCATATTGAGAAGCTAGATCCTGCATTGCTGAGGAGTGGGAGAATGGACATGCACATAAACATGAGTTATTGTTCCTTTTCTGCATTCAAGATTTTGTTAAAGAATTATTTAGGGTATGAGGAAACTGACTTAGAGAAGCAAATGTTGGAGGAATTGGAGGGAGTGATTGATGAGGCTGAAATGACGCCTGCTGATATCAGTGAAGTTCTGATCAAAAACCGGCGAGACAAGAACAAGGCGGTTGGAGAATTACTGGAGGCATTGAAGACAAAGGCTGAACAAAATCGAGCAAAGAAATTGCTAGAGAGTAACAGAAATGAGGTTGAAGATGAAGAGCAAGAGAAGAGGGCTTTGGATATCCCAAAAGAAGGGTTTGATCAATTGGAAGAAAGTTGCAACAAATGTGAAGAAAAAGATGATGAGAAGGTACACTGAACTGTTAAAATAAGTTATTGAAGATGAAAAATAAAGTTCAAATTTCATCTTCTGTATGGTTCTATCTAGTACAGTTAACTTGAAAGAGGTGGGGAAGAACACAGGCAGGCAGATTGCTGGTGGAATAGAATCAACCTTCGAGTTTGTGGGGGAATTATTAACATTGGGAAGGAAAAGAAAACGTGATTGTGAGACAATTAATTCGATGCCATTTATATTTTTGCCTTAAATCTTGATTTACTTTAGTATTTATGTTCGTTCAGCATTTTCTTCAAACACCTTGCCTACAATTATCGATTTCTACTGTATTCCTCATAAGATCCTGGTATTGGAGTTTTTGCTTATATTGTGCATTGCTAGCTGGCTGATATGTGATTGCACATGGGTTATGTACCTTCTGGGTTGGAGATTATGCGATTATTATTTGGACAATGACGTTGTAGCACATTGCCTTCAAGGTTTCTGTTCAATATGGACTAATGTTAACTGTCCAAAGTGACTATGATTTATTTTTTATAAGATTGAGGTTAATGGAGGGAGTTCTATGGGGAAATTATATTCGAGGTTTCCAACCTTTAAATTTGTACGAGTGAGTCCTATTCTTTTATTTTGGCAACTGGGTCTTTAGTTTTTCCAATTAATTTGTAGCAATTTGGTCTATAGTAGTCGAACAAACTGGTAGGTCGTCTTCTTTCCATTCTCTCCTTATCCTTCGTGCCCAATATTTTTGTGTGTTGCACAAATCATACTAAAACAGAGGATCTTGAATACCGTTCAAAATTCAAAAGTTGATTACAAAAGATAAGGCCAGGGAAAGAGGCGAAATTCAACCATACTTACGAACGGTTCTCATGCTCAAAAACGAAATGTTCTTGAAAATTCTTGCCCCTGTTGCAATGTGAAAAGAAAACTAAAAACTTAGTACAAGGCCCATAATTAGAGACCTTGTTGAAACAAAGGAGAAACATGTGAACAATCTGAAGATTTTATGTTGGATAAAGAAAGATTTCCAAGGAAAAGCTAATGGATAGGCTTCCTGAAAAAGTAGACATTATTATATTTGGTTTGGTTTTGTTAGTGAGTTGGAAAGGCCAATTTGGGTTTGCATTTTTGGGATAGTGTGCATTAGTCATAAATTCTTTAGTCTGCTTTGGTGATACCAACTTTGTGATTATTGTGCCTTTTGATTAAACAACGCTGTGGCGCATCGCATGAAAAAGGTACACTTTTTCGCAACATTTCATTTGTCAATGTTTACGTGTTTTGAAAGTTAGTGCTTGCCTTCTATAATTCTATTAGCGACTTTCATTTTACAATATCATTCGTTTGTGTAAAGCTCTCCCATCTCCAATAATATGTAATTGTGTTGGAATCAAAGGCATCCTCCCAGTCTCAGAAAAGGTCAAACGTCCAGACGTGCTAATTTGACACTATGTGGCTTGCTTAGGCGAAATTGGACAAAAAGAAATTATAAAACATTATACTTATCGACACTCATAAGTTAGTGGTTATCGACAGCATTGTTGTTGGTACTATTGTCAAGGAATCACTGTCTCAAAGAGAAGTCATTTGTGATAGTCGAGTGTATGGCTAATGATGATTTTGATTAAAATCAATAATATATGTAGGTGATTTGCAACAGTGTCTTATGTTATCTAAATCGTTCTTTCGATATTTTTTATTATCAACATCTTTTGTATTTTTTCACGATCATGGTGATATTTTTTTTCATTATTCTTCTTATAATTTATTTGAAAACATGCTAGACTAGGGATTTTTTATTTTTATTTTTATTTATTTATTTTGTATTGGATAAGATGAACACTATTGTTTATTTGTTTTAAATTCAAGACAAGTAATTTAGTTTAATTCTTGTGTTTCTTGATTAGTTTTGCATACCCGTTGCATCATTTAATTGTTTAGCCACCAATTAGATGATTAGTTACTCGTTGTAGTGTTAGGAAACTCACAATAAGTTTAGAATGCAGAAAAATTAATGTGTGCAATGGATATTGGCAATAGCATTTATCACGTGTGCAATCATATATATAATCTAAAATTTAATACAGTCTAACCATTCAAATTCGGGCTAGGAATAGATTCGTGATTAGGATATAATTAATTTATCTTGAAAAAAAATTAAATACATTAAATTCATTGATTGTCGCATGAATAGAATTAGATTACAAATCAAAAATTGAAATAGATAACAATAGGCGGAGTCAAAATCTAATACAATCATCCATAATTTGATAAAAATCATTCTTAAATTAATTTAGCAAAAATCAAATCAAAATCTTTCTTTTATTTTACATAATTCGAATTCCATACATAACGAGTAAATTTGAATGGAAATTTATTCCTTATGGAACATTACCTTTAACTCACTAAATCTATTATTTGTCAAAGATCCCGTACACTTGTGGGTTTCACACAAAAATACATTTTACAAAACAATTCGACCCTTGATATAGTAAGTGAATAAATTATAATTTAAGTTAGTAAAACATACTTGTTATTCATACATTTCGTATAATCCACAATTATTATTCATTTATTATCAACACATACAGTAAATTTAACGATCTATGGTCACATAATTTTAATTTATTCACTCTAGTCTTCACCTAAAAGTGGTTACGATTTATAAAAAGTGAATTACATTCACTCGAACAAAAGCTGTAAAATTACTTTTAAGCTGTAGTAGTCTTTTAGGTGCACACAACATCTCTTCGCACTCGCATGTCCTTACCACCGGACATAAACAATTATTATATGTAACAAACTGCAAAGTTTTTTGCAATGATATTAAGGTGGTGCGATGATTACAAATTGTAATAAGACAAGACATGTAGCTTATGAACGTATGCTGGCATGCATTATATTCTTTTGTACTTTTTGTAGTTTGAAGTCAATAAAGATAGGGATTGTTCCCCCGTGGAACCATCAAATATGGCCCAATAATTTTATCCTTATTCATTTAACACCTCATCTTCCAATTATAGAATCGACTCTAACAGTGTCATTGATCGCCTCACATTATAAGATGAGCTCAAACATGCAATTTAATCTATCCAAAACATAAGCGAGCTATCATCTTGCGAGAATGAATTAATAATAAATTTTCATGTAGATTAAAGATGAAAACGGTACTTAATATATAGCCCCTGTTTGAAGGGCATTATTTTCTCTTTTTTAGAAGAAATTCAATCGTTATTCGACCCCACACAACTGTTATTTTTGACTTGCATCTCACCAAGTCTTGGAAGATTGTGCACCAACGATCAAAAAAGTTATTTTTATGAGGAAATAATGCCCCTCAAACAAGTTATGTTATAAAGTGATAAGTGTATTTTGTTCATTTATTTTTGCCAGTAAATTGGAGAGTTTGTTAGTGATTTGAATGAGTTATAACTTAATTATATGTTAATTATGTTTGTTAGATTGAACTCAATGCAAATTAGTTGAATTAGAAGAAATGAACGAAAAAGGGTAAAAACGAAAGAAATCCAAAGTTTACGGACCAAAGTATAAATATTCAATAGTTGATTCGGACCATAAATGATGATTGAAGATCACAGGATCAATTCGATCCCATTTGGAGGTCAAATTAGTGAAAATAAAGTTGAAATATTTTCACAAATCAATTTCAAACAGAAGTAGTTATAGTCTAAATTTTTAACCTCAATTTGATATCCTTTTTTGGATAGCAAACTTTCTAATTGTATCCTTTAGAATTAGTTTTCCAACGTATTTTGAATCATCTCAATCAGATATTGGAAGAGAATGTTATAACTAAAATACCAAAAGCTACTTAAGGACAATAGGGTGCAAAACGACGCGCGTGAGGGCCATTCATGATGTGAGGAAGACACAAATTTCATGATCCCAGAGTCATATGGTTTTCGCATGCGAGTCAATAGTTTCTTTTTGCGATTTAAACTCTTTTGGGACCTAAATTGTAAGCGATTTTGACATATTTTCTAGCTTTATTAAATAAAGAATAATGGTTACACATTGAAAAAAATTCTCTCTTACCTCCTCATACACAATAATATCATCAAATTTACCAAGAACGAGAGATCAGTAAATCACTTTTGAGAGAGAAGATCGAAGCCCAACAAGAATTGAAAGTCAATTATAACAAGAAATTGAAGAATTCAACTTTGGACTTAAAATATCAACATCTTTTGTATTTTTTCACGATCATGGTGATATTTTTTTTCATTATTCTTCTTATAATTTATTTGAAAACATGCTAGACTAGGGATTTTTTATTTTTATTTTTATTTATTTATTTTGTATTGGATAAGATGAACACTATTGTTTATTTGTTTTAAATTCAAGACAAGTAATTTAGTTTAATTCTTGTGTTTCTTGATTAGTTTTGCATACCCGTTGCATCATTTAATTGTTTAGCCACCAATTAGATGATTAGTTACTCGTTGTAGTGTTAGGAAACTCACAATAAGTTTAGAATGCAGAAAAATTAATGTGTGCAATGGATATTGGCAATATCATTTATCACGTGTGCAATCATATATATAATCTAAAATTTAATACAGTCTAACCATTCAAATTCGGGCTAGGAATAGATTCGTGATTAGGATATAATTAATTTATCTTGAAAAAAAATTAAATACATTAAATTCATTGATTGTCGCATGAATAGAATTAGATTACAAATCAAAAATTGAAATAGATAACAATAGGCGGAGTCAAAATCTAATACAATCATCCATAATTTGATAAAAATCATTCTTAAATTAATTTAGCAAAAATCAAATCAAAATCTTTCTTTAATTTTACATAATTCGAATTCCATACATAACGAGTAAATTTGAATGGAAATTTATTCCTTATGGAACATTACCTTTAACTCACTAAATCTATTATTTGTCAAAGATCCCGTACACTTGTGGGTTTCACACGAATATGAAGGTTTACATTTATAAGATTAAATTGGAATTTATTTTTTATTCGATTGTCGAAACCTTAAATTTTTGTAAAATACAAGATTTTACTAAAATATTGGATTGGACCGAACAAGTAGCAAAAAGGTTTTAAATTGAAATGATACAACCTCTTATATGAAATAAACTTGCATCGAAGTAAAATTTAACAATTAATTTTAACCATATATTATATGGAATCCATAGCTTTTGCACCCCACATTCATTCATTTTAAAATTTACTAAAAATATGATTTTAATCCCCACGAAATAGGGCTTAATAAGTTGAATTGAACAAAATTACAAGCATATGATATCATTTCAAACCAATTTTGTAAGACTTGTTGTGTAAAAGAACTTACACTAAACATTCTTTATAATTAAATGCCTTTATTCTATGAAAACTGATTAGAAAATAATTAAATCTTGATGGGTTGTGGTAGAGGTGAAGAGGATATGCTCATTCTTGAAAGCAAATGGTCACAATCTAGAATACGTTTCTTTAATATTTGAAGTTTGAATTATGAACAATGAAATTTGACTAGGATTAAAA